AACCTTAAGTGAATGAATATATATTAAAATAGCAGAAACAAAAAATAATTAGGGTTTATATTCCTTACACAGTAAATTTGGATCCCCAATAGGGTTATGAAAACATCCCTTTTAAAAAATTTAAATAATAGAAATAGAAATGAAACTAAAATCCTATGGGGTTAACCTCCATTAGCAACTTTGATGGGGTTCAGGAGATAACCTTTACTCGCAACCCTCCTATTGTCCAGGAACCGTATTTTAGTCTTTTTGGTTTTAAATGGTTAAATAGGGAGATGAGCTATACTAGTATAGTAAGAATATCACACTAATCACTGATACGAAAAATTAAATATTGGTAAAAATTATAAAATAATTAATGAAATTATTAGTTTAGGTAAATTCAATTAATATAAAACCTTCTCTTCCATATTTTCCGTTATGAATTTTCAAAATCGACCTATAAAGACAATAACTCAAGTGACATTGTGATTTCATATCCAGTGAGTAAGAATAACGATATATCTTTTTACCTGGTTACTGTACCTCTAGGGGTTTATAAGGATGTTCTCCTACGCATGAACCCAATAACTAATTTATTATTTAATCGACTATCCCTTTACCCCGTTCGATAATAGATATCAAACACACCCTCGCCTCGATACCCCGTCTGGTATGAGAGTGAACTATATCTCCCAAACTTTTTCGGTGTGAGATTTTTCAGCCACATCCAACTGAGACAATGTCCAGAGTATGATTTTTCCTGCGTATTGGGTCTGTCCATCCTTTCCTATGGTACCCAGTAAGCCTCTCATACATAGATTCATACCATTAATCAATCACCAAATTACATATCAACATTCTAAATTTACAAATCAATAGTAAGTCATGCAAATATACAATACGTAAATTAAGAAAACATGATTAGATCATTTATTGCAAAACAAATAAACAATTGAGGGCAACACAGTTAGGTAAACTAAATAACAAGAATGCAATTAAAATTAGTAAATTAATGAACACAATATAACAATGAGCATTTTAGATAGTATAAGAGAAAATAAACAATAAACCAAGGCAAAAATGCACTAATCAGTTCCGGTTTCACTAGTGACTTGTAATTAATTTTAGAGTTTTCTAAATTTCAAAAAATACAGTGTTATTGATTCTTAAGCTTCAATGTATCGTAACAGAAAAAAAAAAAAGAGAGATTCTTACTCCAGATTGATGTGCAAAATACCGTACTTTCCACTGCATCTCTTGGCGATCCCCAGTTTTTCTGAAGTTTTCTTACAAAAATTAAAATACCTGTCACATATTCAAAAATATCCAAAAAGGCCAAAGTAGGCATTGAAAAACCTTTTCAGCCAATTTTAGGATTCCAGCATGACGGTGCCACCATGGTCCAACACTGGTTCTATTGCCCACGGCGGCAGTTCACCTCGATTTGGCCGGTTTTAGCTCGTTTTTGACCAGTTTTACATATAAACTTATGAAAAACCAAGTTAGGAGGCTTTGGTTGCCTGGAATAGGCAAATAACTGAAACCCTACCGGCAGAAGCTCTATGGGTGTAGTGGCTCCGTCGGTCCTCTTTCACGGCTGAAGTTTTCCTTTAGCTAACCTGTATCAGAAAATGATGGTAAACACGGTGGTCAAAAAATTACACGAAATGAGAAACAAAAATGGTGTCATCGGAGAAGATTTTGGGTTTTAGTTGTGGCAGCTCAGACTGAGCTTTACCCGTAGTTTTCAACCCGCCCATCAACCTTTTTTCTCCGATATGGCCATAAAGGAGGCTCGGGATTGAATTTCTGAGTGAGAAAGGAAAAACTTTTTACCTTTTCTTGGCAGTCGGCAATGGCTCTGGTGCAGCCGGCGTCAACGTTCCTCCGACAACTGGGTCTTTCCCTCCGACTGGGCTTTCTTCTTCTTTCTTCTTCGGCTGGGTGTCCGGCTAGGGTTTC